TTCGGCCGACAGGGATCGTACTCACAACCTCTTGACATGGGCCTAACGCCCTACCAACCTAGCTATCCCGGCCTTATTGTTTTCGTCAGTTCAATAATAAAGAAATATTAACTTCCCCTTCTTATTACTTTTATTTGGTTCAATATGTTACATTTTAAATTTCCTATATTTTACTAAATATGCTGTACCGCATTTAATTTAATAATAAATCTTTCATTTAATAGAAGCAATTTATGCAATTTTACTAGTCAAATGTAAGTTGATAACTGCAACTAAATATTAATATATTGTAAAGTTATAATTTTAGGTACTAAAATATTTAAACTTTCTAATATTTAATTTTGTTGAAATAAGTTGAGAAATGCTAAAACCAATTTTATTTCTAGAGGTAATTTTTATTTTAGCATAATTCTTTTCAAATTTATTTTTATTTCGTTTCATTATTCAAATATCATTAGCATGTAAAATGCATTAATGCCATGCATTACTTTAAGTATATTAAAACTTAAGTTGCAATCATTGTCCTGCAAATAAATAAATAAACTTGTTTTGTTTCGGAATCGTAATGCAATTTTGAGAAGATCCCACCTGTCGACAATTTTTTGGCTTGCTTAAGATTGATGTAAATCATTTTTTCTCTTTTAATGTTTAAAAATGCACAAAAAAACATTTTATTTCTCGGAGAAATTTTATTCATTAAAACAATCATAAAAATGTCATGTTTTTATATTTTCGCCTAAAAAGACCACGTCACCATGTCATCAAAACTATTATGCAATTTAAAGTTTCTTTCGTTGTTTTTTTGAAAAATTTCAAATTTCTCAGCGTGTTTGTCTAGCAGTCTATCAAATATTGGCAATGCAGCAATCTCACCCAAAAAATAGACATTTTTTATTTTATGGCATTTCCTGAATTTTAATGCATAACTCTAATTTCTTTCACACTATAATTGTGACTCATATTTCTTCTAAAATATTTTAATTTAGATTAAAAAAAAGTACATAATATATCATATTATAAATACAACTGACTATTTAAATGTTTTTAAAAAAAGTGAGCTTAATAGAGTGCTGAATTATGTTAGCACATTTTCTATTATAAGTTTAAAGTTTAATTAGTTTAAAAATATATATTCAAGGGCATTATTGTAAAGATATTATTCTGAACACAAGTGTTTAGTTAAAAACAAAATATTAATATTTTTCTGCATAAAAATTTTAAAATAGTTAATTATTAATTCAATTCTTAGAATCGATACTTTTACAGTAGACATGAAACTCACACAGTCTAGTCTAAGTTAAGGACAAAATTGAGATGCATTTTCATAAACAAAATAAATCTTTATGAAATATATGACGCCCAACATCTTTTTGTGTAAAATAAAAAAACTGGTGATCTGTAATAATAATAGCATAAATGACAAGAATAATTTTTACATTTTTTAACGCTTTACGAACACAAGTTAAACCCCTTAAAATAAAACTCTAAAACTGCTTGAGCTCAAGAAAATCCATAAAATATAATTACGAATGAAAACTTTTTCCTTAAATTTAATTATATGTGGATTCTGAAATGTGATTCTTCTTTTCAATTTCTTCCTTATCTTTTCTCCTATCATCTGTTAATAAAAATTTGCATATAAATTGCATTTCTCAGCGTGTCTGATCTAAATTTCATCAAACATATGATTAAAAATGGGAAGCTAAAGACAAGATACTGTAAGAAATACCTTTAAATCAATATTACTGAAATGTTTCGATTTCGTTGTCATAGATATCGTATGTTGATTTAATATACTTACGTACACACATTTTTCTTTTTTTTTCTTTTTTTTTGTTTAAACACTCTTAAAAGAACTTTCTTTAATGTTAACTAAAATTATCTTTCTTGTAAGCTAAACCAGATCTATTTTTAAATAGTTTCTGAAAAAATGCTTGAAAGTTAAAGTCGGCCCTTAATTTGCAATGTATACTTAATTAGGTGGTTTCTGTGGTTTAATGCAAGAAACAATATATCCCATAGAAAAAAAGTAAATTTTTATCAGCAATAAATAGTATCAAATTCAAATTTAAGAACTTATTCTAAAAAGAAAATTTTAAATTACACGAACACAAGGAAGGAAACGTCTAATATACATTTTCCATTGAAGTTTAGTTTGAAAGTCTAATTCTGACTAATTATTTTAAGATTTTTTGATTAGTTAAAAAATCGTTTTGAAAAACAATTAAAAAATTAAGTATTTTCTTTTTCTATATACCAAAATATGTAAATTTTGGTTAAATTTTATGCATTTTTAAAATTTTAAGAGATAGTTCTTATAAGCAAATCGTTTCATTGAAATATTAATAGTCAGTTTCAATGAAAAAATGCATAAAAAATGAAAACGATACCTTGAAATGCTTAGATTATCTAAGAATAAATAGAATTTTTTTTATCTAGTTCATTTTAATCTGTAGTATGAAAGTTAGTCAAGTGCTTGTTATGTCGATCGATTTTAAGGAGCTTATGTAAAAATGTCCAAGTTTAAAGTCTTTTTTTCTGATTGAATTTTCAAAAACGTTTTTTTTTTAATTCTTTACTTTAATGAAATACAGAAAATCTGCCTGTTACTACGTTTATTATTTTTATTATATTATTATTTTTTCGTTGTCTAAACGTTAACTTCACACTTTTAAAAAAATTAGCGATAAAATTAGATGCTTAAAAATAAAATAAAAGATAATATTTTTATACTTTCCTGAAATTATGAAACATATTCTAATAACGAATGCATAATATTAAGTATACATACTGTTCAGTCTTTTTTTTCTAGTACCTGAAAAATTTGTTAATCTACCGCTGATATAAGAAAATTTTAATTCAAGTTGTCAGGGATAATTCTTTAACAAATTCTGTTTCTGCAAAATACTTTATTGCAAATTATTAAATTTTTTTTCAAGAATTTAACGAGTAGGGTTAAAAACAAGAAGCATGTTTTATTAATTTTGACCATAAGGCTTCAATTCGACGAGGCATTGATTCATATTTTTTATTTATTTATTTATTTATTTGTACTACCCTTTTATTATATTTTTACAAAAATTAATGCAAGGGAAAATTCATTATCATTATTTGCTCATCTTTCTTCTAAAACATTATGCTTATCAAACCTTACTCAGTACAATGCAACTGGAAATGTTGTCAAAATCATATTTTGTTCATACACAGTTAAACAATTCTAGCACGACTGGTTCTGTTAAAAAGAAACTACAGATATTTATTATACATGTACAGTACAAAAAAAAACACATCAATTACTCTTGATCTAATAATCCAATTTCCACGTGCTTGAACCTCTATCTTAATGGTTCCAGATCTTAACCACAAATATGCTAATTAATTAGTGCAGATGATATTTTGAGGTACAAAATCAGACACAAAAACGTATTTTTTCTGAGAATTTCTTTTCGACTTCAAGACTTTTCTAAATATCTAAATAACCGCAATCTGGAAAATGTGATCCCGAGGGCGAAAGTTTGAACTCATAAATGTTAATTTTTAATATTTGAGTATTTAACCATTTATCAGGAACTAATCAAGCTAATCAAAAAATTTTGACACACAATAGTAAATTTTGTTTATCTAAAAATAATTCCAAGTAAAAATACATTTTTATAGCTATTTATTATCTTTTTATCATTTAATTTACTAATAGTTTAACAAAATTGGAATTATTAACTATGCAAATTTCTGCACTAAGTTAATCTTCATAATTTTAAAAGGCAAAATCCAAAATTTTAGAGGATTTAATCTGTTAAATAGTTCTAGAGAAAAAAATTAAAAATAATACTTTTTGAGATGTCGAAATACACAAAAAAATTAAATTAACAATAAGAGGCCTAAACTGATAATCGCTCTCCTGCCTAAATAATAAGGACCATATTTTCCAGGTTGAGGCTACACCTGCCATGTATTTTAAGGGTAAATAATCCGAATATCTCAGAAATATGTTCAATCAGAGAAAATACGATAATTTTTTGTCTGATTTCATTACCTAAAGATTGTTTGCACAAATTATTTAGCATATATATGATCGGAACTTTGATCTCGTTGAGTCTCATTACGTGAAAAACCGATCATTGGAACAAAAATAACAAAAGTTATTACGCTGTTCTCTTTTCTGTACATGTATTGTTCATTCTGTACAAGTATCTTAAAGTATTACCTATAAGTATTATTACTTATAATTGTTATTTCCCAGAAAATTCCACTTAAGTATGAAGTTTGACTGAGGAAAAAATATATAATATTACATATTATATGCAATGAAACCCCGCTATAGTGAACTCACGGATATAGTGAACGAAATGTTCAGTCCCGAACCTTGATATACACGTATAATGTCATTTTTTGTGGATATAGTGAACTAAAAAGGTGAAGAAGTGGATATTATGAACTTTTTTCTGCCATCGACTTATTTTTTTTCTTCATTTTGTTGCAATAATTTAGAAATGTCTACTTCAAAATAAATACTCATACTGATTTTTAAAACTATCTATAGAATGGAATGTAGCGATAAGCATTTTCTCTTGTTTGCTTCTTCTATCATACTTTTCCATCCCTAAACAAAAGCCAACCCAGGCAGATGTATGGACAAATTTTTCCCTGCATCAGCGAAAGATTATAAATTTTTTTTTGTACACAAAACGAAGAGTAATAAAAAATAAAAGCAAGTTAACGCATTTTTTGTTACTACGTATTATTTTTCAGTCATTTTTGCACTTCATTTCATTGATCATTTATTTAAATAATGTATAATGAAAAGGAGTTCGGAGCCATTGGTTAAAATTTTTTGCGAATCGGATATAGTAAACTCCCGGTTATAGTGAACCGAAATTTCGGTCCTTTGAAGGTTCGCTATAGTGGGGTTTGACTGTATTTATAATATATAATAATTATAATATAACATGTATAAAACAGTCTGCGTGTGATAAAATAAAATATTATCAAAACATTCATACCTTCCCATAAGCTACCACTGGATTGGCTTCCGAATCCACTGCCAGGTATGGATTCTGAACTTTCGGATCCTATAGATGAGCATCGTATACCACCCGGACCATTCCATCCATTATCAAGATTGGCAGAATTTTTGGGTGAGGGCAACCAAGGGTTGGTTCGAATTCTACAACGTACCCGAGGTGAACTGGTATCAAGTGTTGTAGATGAACCAAAACCCAAAGCTTGTTGTGGTACAGAAGATAAAGGTGGTGTCAATCCTGGATCCAGAAAGCTAGTTCGAATATGGAGTCGACCCCCAACACTGCTGGGGGTCTCTGGAGCTCTAAGGAAAGGATGAGGAGATGGAGGATGCTTAAGTCTGTGGTGAGGAGTGCTTCCAGCAGATCGGGGAAGATCTTTACCGATAGGTTCGATTTTGTGAAGTGGAGTGTTAGGAGTGCTCTCATCTTTTCTCCGAGTAATGTCAGGTCCAGTGAGATTTTCTTTCTCTTTTTTGTTTTTTCTTCGAGAACGTCCAATGTGGACTTCTACCCACCGTATTAGCTTCATAATCAATCAGAATCGAAGACCTAAAAATAATTATCAGTAAGTAAGAAAATATGATGTTTTTAAAATTTGAAGCATTAGTTACATTGAAAATAATTATTTTTACAGAGATTCGCACCAGATATTTGGTTTCGATTATTTTGAGTTTTAGTTGTGAACTAGATGGAACAGTTGGTTTTCGTAAAGATCATAATAAACATCATGAAATTAAAATACAGATATGAAACTCACTTGATAAATCATTAAAATTAAATACAATAGGCCCAAGCAAAATGCCGGTGGGGGGCATGGAAGTAGGCTAAGTGCCTTACGTACCAAATGACATAAAGTAAGTAAGTTTATGCATATACAAAACAGAAAAACTATTTTGCTTCGTTATCAATGTCCCACCTATCCTCCAAATTATAATTTAAAAATTGTCAGACTTGTGACTCTCTCTTGAAATCGGACAAGAAGTCTTCAGTCACTAGACCTTGATATCGTGTGATGTTTTGTAAAAATTAATAACAGATAGTAAGACAAAAATCTTATACAAAGTACAAGGCCAATTATTTAAATGCTGTGAGACAATCAAGTATTTAAAAATCCAATTGAAAAAAGCTTTCAAAAAACTAGATATCAATTGGCGCATTCAAAATTATTTTAGCTGTCAAATGAAAACTGTATAAGTCGTAGTTTGTGTGGTTGTACATAATGCTGTATCATAAAATAAGTGCACATTTTTACCATTCTTTAGACCTTGTTACGAATAAAATTTCCGATCCCGATAAAATCATGAAATTGAAATCTAACTGTATTTTTAAATGTATATTTATTACATACAACCTACAGATGTTGCTTACGATGAAAAAATAAAATTTTATATTTAAAAATAAGAACAATTTTTAAATGATTTATAATATGTCGGAAAGGAATTACTTATGTGTTACAGCTTATATAAAGTGCAGAAGAAACCTTTTATGTTTAAAAAAATGCAAGTGTAAATGATATTTTACGTTTCATGTTCAAAGCATATTAAATAAAAATTTATTTTTAAACTTATATACTTGTTTCAATATTGAATTCGCACTTTTAAACTAAACCCAAATATATTAAAGAAAACAAGAAAACATTACAGAGTATAATTTAGACTATGATTTAGTTAATATAGAAATTTTGTCAAACATTGATGTAGAATAAATTAATTAAAACAACAAGTTCAGATATTTAGTTTCCACTGTTTGTTAATTAAATATTTGAAACTTTCTTTTTGTAATAATGTTAAAAATCAAATATGAATTCTAACTATGTAAAAGTTTAGTTGTTATCTTTAATATCTTCTATTCTTCATTTCTAGCTTAGCACCACATTTTCTAGAATTATAGAATTATTTTAATTTTAAAATAACAACAATGTGCATAATTTTAAATTAATTAAATAGCATAATGTTAAAACATACTAATATATAAGTCCTTCCTTTTTAGTGTCAAATTAATTTTAAGAAAATTAAGTAAAGAATTTTGCATTAAAATTCTGTAAACAAAGAAACTCATGAATATTTTTTTCATTAAAACAAAACAATTATGTGTTTATAAAGATAAATACTTTAATGATATAATAAAAATTTATGTCAATAGAAACTTTGCATAGTTATTAATTTATATTTAAACATTTCCATCAAACGTTTTTTATTATTCTTTAAAAAAAATATTTTTCAAGTTTTAGATAATCTTTCTTAAAACACAAATTTAAAAACAATCTCTTAAGCAACGATAAAAATAATCTGAAAATGAATGTATATTTTCATAAATTGCATGATGTAATTGCATGATAAAATTTACCTCATGATGTACGGGTTAATGAATAACAAATGTAAAACAATATAAAAAAATTCCGGAATATCATTTGCACGCATCACAAAAATCAGTAAACATACAATCTAAGATACAAATATACATTATACTATAGACTTTGAATTATTAAATGAATATTTGCATCAATTGAAACATTATTTACTAATTTTTGTTTCAATACTTTTATAGTTTACATTTTTCTTCCTTAAACAACACTATTTTTCAAGTTGATAACCTTGTTTAAAACAAAAATACACAAAAAAATTAACAAAGATTTTTAAAAATATTTGAAAATGAATAGATATTTTTACAAATATTGCTCGTAATGGTTACCGAATAACAGGTGTAAAGCAGTGTAGCGAAATTCCGATATACCATGCGTCTCGAAAGTCACCAGACACACTCTTCTATGAGACAAAACACTATGTACATTGTACAACTGACTTTGAATGAATAAATATAGATTCCCATCAGTCGAAACATTATATATTTGTTAATTTTTAAATTAGTACTTACATCGTGTTAACATTTTTTATCTTTCTCAACCAAAACTATTTTTCAAGTTCAGAATATTGTTTTTTTACAAAAATAAATGTACAAAATAAATCTTTTAAATAATTATTAAAAAAAAGTGGAAAATGCGTGCATTTTAACATTAACATTCCTTGTAAGGATTAATAAATAACAGCTAGAAAAATTCCGATATACCGTCAGCATGCATCTTAAGAATCCCCAAACATACTCTTTTAAGACGCATTACACAGGATTCCATGCTAAACTATTCACATATAGTTCTAAAAGTCTCATATTAATCCACATCCTATTAATATTTAAAAACATTTTTGTTGAATAAAGATTAACATTTGCTTACCCAATGTTGTGATGAAATAGCACTGTTAAAGTGTAATGGAAAACGCCATGCTTCAGAGGAGAGTTCATGCAATGGCGGAAGAGTATAAGGAGCAAGTGGATCTGACGGACTATACCATTAAGGGATGAGGGACGGAGGAAAATATTGATTTGCCCCAGACCTTCACCATCCGTGAGTCGAGGCAGGAAAAGGAACATAAAATGCTTACACTTGAGAATTCTTTTGATGTAGGTACGCTCCTCGGCAGAGTGTGTATAAATATAAAAATGCACAATCTTTGATGACACCAGATTATGCTGTAGCTGTTAGGTTATGGGCTGTATGCCATTACGGGGGACATAAAATATCCTCACAAGTTTTAGTTTATTATTTGAAGCGTATTTTTGTTATTTTTGAACGAGAAGATTTTTAAAAATGTCTTTTGAGTTACACATACAGGTGTTTTGATGTACATTGAGTTGTTTTAATTAGTTGCTGTTTAATTAGTTTTTGTAACGATTTCTATGTGTTTCGCTTAAATACAGCTGTTTTAATTAGTTTTTGTAACGATTTCTATGTGTTTAGCTTAACAAATAGGAGCTAGACATGAATTTTTTTTTTAACTTTCTCTTACTATTTTATGTCTACAAATAAAAATAAAAACTTTCTTTGATGACACCAAATTACACTGGGGCTGTTAGGTTATGGGCTTAATGACACTATAAGGATCACAAAACATCAATCATTCTTAATCGAATTACATTTAAATTAAATCAACTAGTTAATCTTTATAAAAGCGAACATAAAATATTTTATTTTCGCTTTTATAAGGATTAAATGATTGATATAATTTCAATATAATTCGATTAAGTTAGAATAAAAAAAAAAATTTAAGTAATTAAAGATATTTTAAAAGCGAGGAAATATGTAATGCTAATTGTGGCATCATACCAGTCTAGGAAGAATTAGGAAACTTAATATAGTGGCCGCCGCAATGACTCATTATAACATACTAATTCCCAATTTCAATGGTTAAAAGGGCTGCAATTTTAAAAATACGATCTCAGTAGCTTGCTCAAGAGATTGGCAATTTTGATCTACATTTTTTGCCTATTTCTTTGCATCTGAAGCACCTTTAGGCGAATGATATGTAAGTCATGCTGTGTCAGTGCAGAGGCCACCATATAAAGCTTCTGGACTGGACTGGGCTGAAATACCATGTTGGTTAGAGCATCCTAGTGCAATCCTGGAAATCCTTGGTACGAATTCTGTCGGCAGCAAACGAAAATCTCACTCACCCATTTTTCCCTTCATATCACACTTAAGATTATGCAATTACGCTCAAAAATGATTCCATGCTGTATCAATTAAATGGGATTACATGGGGTTTTCAAATTCAACTATATTTGTTTCGGAGTTATTTTGACACATTTTGCTCAAATTTAGGAACCCCTTTTTTACAGAACACAAATATATATATATATATATATATCTANTACTTATATATATATATATATATATAATGAAATAAGATAATTAGAATAATTTTCCGTCAATATATGAATATTTTAAGAGTCAAAATATAACGATTTAGCACTGTCATTTATCGAAACACAGGTTTTTTTAATTCAAGTGTCACATAATTAGGAAATTTCACCCGATATAAAATTACAATTACATTTTTATTCCAAACAAAATTTTTAATTTTAAACAAATAGCGAATGTCTTTTGCACGTAATTATTATGCGTTCATTGTATGTGCATTTTTTTAAGGTTTTAATCATTGAAAACTGATCTATATAGTGTTTTAGCGAAAATCAGCATAATCTTAGAAAATTCAGTAAAAGATTGCTATGTTATAAAATTTCAACTGAAAAAGAAGATTTTTTTATCGTTCCAAACTTTTATAGTTCAGAAAATGAATTAATCTAAAAGTGAATTAAATTTGCACCCAGGTCTATAAATTAAGGATAATTCAGAATCACGCGGAAATTTAACTCTAAAGTAAAAATTTCACCGGTAGAATTATCATAAACATCTTCAATAATAATATGCAAATTAAAGGAAGCCAACAGGTGACGCCGATAGTACGTCTCAATGACGAAAGAGTAAAAGAAGGGTATAAGAAATAATATATATAAGGAAAAGTAACAAAGAAATAAAATTGTTCAAGGGCCCTTTTTCAGCCTTGGGTGCCCGCTTAAAACATCCGCTCAATAATACAAAATGCAGTAAAATTATTCTCAAGCATTCCGTATGCCGCTACGTGCCATAACACTCAGATGGAAGTATCCGAGGAACTTGGAATTTCCCAAAGTATCATCTCTAGGCTTTGGCAACGATTCCAAGGTGTTGGAAATGTTAGAAGACAATCAGGTCGCCCTATAGTTAGACCGCTAAATGAAGATCGGTATTTGGTAATAACTACCATAAAACAAGCAGACGGAGCATAGCTTCAGACCTGTCTTGTCAGCTATCAGCATTCACTGGTACCACAGTTTCCAGACAAACCGTGTACAGACGTTTGAGAAATATTGGTCAATATGCTCGCAGTCCTGTCAGATGTGTTCCGTTCACGGCAACTCACTGTCGCCAGCAAATAGCCTAGACTAGAGAATATGCAAAGTGGATATCGTCACAGTGGGCGTGTGTGATGTTTTCCAACGAGTTCATGTTTATCTTGCAGATAATTCACGATGGACTTTCATATGGAGAAAGCCAGGTACCCGTTACCACCAAGACAACCTCATTGGATGACAACGTTACGGTTGTGTGGTATTGCTTGTTTGGGTTGGAATTATATTGGACTCCATAACAAATCTGCGTGTTCAAATCAGAGTTAATACTGGTCAAATTCATCAAAGTAACATGCACGTTTGTTTAGGGATGCCATGGGTTCAAGCTTTGTGTTTATAGATTACAACGCCCCTCCTCATTGAACCAACGTATCGTAAGCGAATACCTTAAATCTGAAGAATTCATCAGTATGGAATGGCTGGCATTCCCACCTGACTTTACTCCGATAGAGCATGTGTGGTAATTGCTTGACCGCCAAGTTGCCCGTCAACTTCTACATGTGTACCGAAACTTCGGAAAGCATTTCTTGCTGAGTGTAGTAATCTCTTCCAAGATCAACTCGATTATTTGATACTTCACGTGCTTGGATGTTGCACGGACTATATTACATCGCTTGGGAGATATGTAATGCATTAACCATCGTACCAACCATGAGATATTCAGTTTTGGTGAAGAAGATATTTCTTATAATTTCTACAGAGAGCAAAAATCGTAAATTTTATGAATAGTATACATGTACCATCTTTTTTTTGTTGTTGTTCTTTTTCTCTTGTTCGATAAATGGACTTTATGAAGTCCCGTTTGATGTTGCTTTTTTCTGAACTTAGATTTGCCGGAGCAGGCATTATCTATAATTTATATACAAGAAAATATTACATCTAGTAATATATTTTCATCTAGTAATATCTAGAACATCTAGTAGTATATTACATCTAGTAATTTGATACTTGGTTTCAAATCTACCAAATTAACACTCCTTATGTTCTTATTATTACCGTTTTTCTATCATTAAATGTTTGTTGCGTTCAAACTTTTTTCTTCTCTTCTGAGAGAAATACATCCTTATCGAATTTTTCACAAAATTTTTAATTAATAAGAACATGGTATTAATTCAACATTCTCACATCATTCATCAGTTCAAAGAAAATTTTCAAATATAATATATATTTTGAAAAGACTATGAAAAACCATTATATAGATTTTTCATTATGCGTAAGTTTTCGATACATGCTGTAAATTTCAGGAATCTAGGCATTGATTTGTAAGAAATGGAAGCCATTACAGAGCTATTAAGGAGCCGGAGAAGTATTTACTAGAGAAGTAAGAGCGAAATTACCAGAAAGTAGTCATCAATAGAGTTTGTATCTTTAATACTTAGAGAAAGGGTAAGTCAAAAGATAAAATATGTGACCACATACACAATGCCTTATAACAACGACATTTATTTAAAAATGAATTGATATGGTCTAGTTAGAAATTCTGACTGTTAATATTGTGTTACGAAGTTTCTGTTGTTTTATAAAGTCAAGGTTTTTATAGAATACAACAATTATAACTGTTTTTTTATAACGGTTAAATTAAGGAGGTCTAGTTAGAAATTTTTCATGTTAAAACTGTTTTTCGAATGCACTGTTGTGCTATGAAATATCGGTTTTTAACAAATAATATGCTATTTTTATAACAGTTATGAGTATTCATAGCAGTTGTTTATTACTTTTGGGTTAAGATTTATCCATTCGTAGTCAATACCTTCTATGCTAATTATGGAAATAACGCAAAATGCCAATATGAAAAAAAGCGATTTAAAAATAAGAAAGGTTTGTGATTTATTATTTGAATATTTGAAAAGCTACATCAACCCTGCATTTCATGATATTATTCATTAATATTAATGACTTTCATCTTGGTGAACAGTTAACACTTAATTAATTTTTAAACATTTAAAATGACCCTGTTTTGAAATCTAATCTTTTGTTTTCCAAAAAAAAATAGAATCTAAGTTTTTTTGAGTTTCAGGCCCTCAAACTGTTACTTTTTATTTTTCTTGTTTAAATATTTTAAAAAATTAACTTAAAATACTAAATTTAAGGTTGAAAAGATTGAAAATAAAGTTTCTGGTTAATTAGTTTCTCAGTAAATCCTCCTCTCTCCTTTGATTTCAAAAGAATTCATTAATTAGATAGTTTATCAAAATTTCCTTTAAATAGTTTTATCTAACACATTCAACTTTCGTGTGTCATTTTTTAAATTATATTTAACACTAGATTGCCTAAGTAAGTCATTTTGACTGCTTTTAATTTCAATTAGAAAAACTATAATGTCTATAATGACACAATTTCATAGAATTTTGTGACTTTTTGTACAACATACAATTTTTTTTATTGTTAATATTTACTAATGACTTGTTAAATAACTGTAAATATAAAAAATGCTAAAAATTAATTTTAAACAAATTTATTTGCGCATTCACAATCCTGTCATTTTGACTGCTTTTAGGCAATATAGGTATATACTAATTTCCCGTCTTTCTAGTGTTAAAGAGATGTGTTCATAAAGGAGAGAATATTCAATTAACTAAACACGTAACATGTTAAACACTTCTTTTCCTAA